GCTCCTTTGATGCTGCTTGGCCTGCTGTGTTCCTCCAGCTCTACACCTTGTTATCTGAGATTCTCCAGCATCGGCAGTTCCTACTATCTCAGAATGGTTAGGCGTTGTTGTTTTTGACTAGTACAGGTGCAATGGGCTGAAGGGTATTTTTTCCTGTCCTGTGGATTTCTATGACGATGACTCATGCACACAAGTTGACTCTGTCACACAAGGTATTCAGAAGCTTTAACAATGAATACCTGGATTAAAGTGTTGGTGCAGTCCTGAGATTAAACACTCAAAGCATCCTGACTGCTGAGGAAGGACGGGAATGATCAACGTTTTCCTTTTGCAGTTATACAACAACTATTTCAAAACAGTATTACAATAGCCTAATCAGCAACCTGTAAACCACCAAGAGATCATTCTACAAGCCATCAAAAGGACAATCCACAAACCACCAAGAGGTCAGTTTACAAACTATGGAGAGTTCAGTTTACAAACCAAGAGGTCAGTTTACAAACTACTGAGAGGTTAGTTTAAAAACCACTGAGAGGTTGGCTTACAAACTACCGAGAGGTCAGCTTACAAACCACCGAGAGGTCAGTTTACAAAATCACCAAGAGGTCAGTTTGCAAACTACTGAGAGGTCAGTTTACAAACTAGAGAGGTCAGTTTACAAACTATGGAGAGGTCAGTTTACAAACCACTGAGAGGTCAGCTTACAAGCTACGGAGAGGTCAGTTTACAAACTACTGAGAGGTCAGTTTACAAACCACCAAGAGGTCAGTTTACAAACTACTGAGAGGTCAGTTCACAAATGACAGAGAGGTCAGTTTACAAATCACCAAGAGGTCAGTTTATAAACCATCATAAGGTCAATCTGCAAACCACCAAGCATAGGAAGGAAAACTCGTACTTTAAAAAGCATTGGCATTTCAAGATGAAAAATGTCAAAGGTCAATTAATCTCAAACCTGACCATCCTGGTAATCACATGATACAATGACAATGGAGTCGTTGACTAAGTGATCTCTCAACTATTTTATAAAGGACCCAGATATGACACCAGGAATGCCTTGTTCCCCCATGCATGATAAATGCCCCACATGCCATTCTTCCATTTACCCTGGTACAGTATCCCAAACTATTCATTTTAGAAAGAAGAATCTCACCTCCTGGGACCTCCTCCATGAAGATTTTGATATATCCATCCTGACTAACTGATCCCAAATACTGGACAATATTCCGGTGTTTCAAGTGCTTATGGAGAGCGATTTCTTCATGAAGAGGCTGTGAGTACCTGTAGGGGGGGAGCAGAAGTGGAATTACTGGGAGTAAGAGGCAAAAGACACATTTATTGTCTATCCCCAATCCCCTGGAGCAAACGATGGTGAATTATCTGCAACTGGGTGGCTTGCTCAGCCATTTCTGAGGAGTTAAGAGTCAACCACATTAGCCGGTGGTCTGGAATCACATGGATACCAAACCAGATCAGAATGGCAGATATCCTTCCCTGCAGAATATGGGTGAATTAGATGTGCTTTTATAATAATCTGGTATTCGCAACACTGGTTATCTTGTTCCAGATTGTTGCTGAGTAAAAGACATCAGCCCACTTTCTCATGGAGAATAAAACTTTTGGTCTCCTTAACACTGGTACTGTTGCAAACTGTCCCGGCGAGTGCAAGATGGAAAGCTTTGACAAGATTAGTCTCTTTTCAGCAACACTTAAGTTCTGTATGACCCAATGATTATTAGTATCAAAGATTATCTAACTTAATTGATATTTCTTCTGTTGAGACTTGAACTCATAAACTCAAGAATATGTGTCTCAGCCTCTGGGTCACTAGCCCAGTAACATCACCACTGTGCTACTGCCCCTTTCCTCCCCCAGTCTTCACGCTAAACAGTCCGTATAGTATATCAGATGAAAGGCACACTGTACAGATTATGTAGGGACCAGCAGGTATATTTGGAGGTCCGTCTACGGGCCTGCCCACAGCGAGAGCATTCAGGTCACAGTTCAACAGGTTGTTAATTTCCTGTTGATCCTTCCAACACTGCCACACTATCCTCTAATCAATGTGAAACTATAAAATAGACAAAACAAACCATCATCTTCTAAAGGGTGATTAAGGATGGACAGCAAATGCTAGCCTGGTCAATGATGCTCAGCTTCCACTAAAGAATTTACAAAAACAAAAAAGACTTTCGAGGTTTTGCATTATCAAAACTAAACTTCATTCTGTAAAGTTAGAAAAATAAAACTTTCTACAAGATCTCTACAATTTATATTCGAACATCCAGAGTTAATGTGAGATAACAAGGTGTAGAGCTGGATGAACACAGCAGGCCGAGCAGCACCAGAGGAGCAGGAAAACTGACATTTTGGGTCTAGACCCTTCTTCAGAAATGGGGGAGGGGAAGGGGGTTCTGAAATAAATAGGGAGAGAGGGGGAGGCAGATGGAAGATGGATAAAGGAGAAGATAGGTGGAGAGGAGACAGACAGGTCAAAGAGGCGGGGATGGAGCCAGTAAAGGTGAGTGTAGGTGGGGAGGTAGGGAGGAGATAGGTCAGTCCAGGGAGGACGGACAGGTCAAGGGGGCGGGATGATGTTAGTAGGTAGGAGATGGGGGTGGGGCTTGAGGTGGGAGGAGGGGATAGGTGGGAGGAAGGACAGGTTAGGGAGGCGGGGATGAGCTGGGCTGGTTTTGGGATGCGGTATGGGGAGGGGAGATTTTGAAGCTTGTGAAGTCCACATTGATACCATTAATGTGAAGTAGAATGTGGGTAATAAAACTGTGGTAAAAAAATCCACAGAGCACATCAATGAGCAAATGGGGGCTCCCATGACAGTTTCTCAACACTAGCCTCATCCACACTGCAAACCTTAGTGACACTGACACTCAAATATCATTAAAACTTTACAAGGGATTACTATTATTCTCTTCCAAAGTCATATATTTGGAATTCCTCAAAGCCTCTTTGTCACAGGCTGTCTCATGTTCACATTTTCGTAGTTTTCTCTGTCCCAATAGGGTCTGTGCTGCCCTGCATACTGGAAATAGCACCTACTCACAGCTCCAATTCCAAATGTCCACAGACAGCTAGTTTCTCCAATCCAGTACCACCCCCCTAGGTTTTTCTGAGCGCTAATCTTGCTCAGCTGCACCATGTAAATTCTTCTTGTGGGTTCCTTTCAGCCCACTCTCACTCATCTCCATCCACATGGATAAGGAAAACCACCAATTCTATTGGGACAACACCAGCATCCTGGGACAGGCGAAGCAGAGACAAGCATGGGAATTCCTAGAAGTCTGGTTCTCCACTAAGAAAGCCATCAATAAACACATAGAGCTAGACCCCATATACACTCCACTGTGAAGGAAAACCGGAAGCGAGGTAACCCAGAACAACGGACTCCAGAGTTTAAATGACAGGCAGGAAAACACAATGGCGCTTCATCGGAGGCTGCACTGATGATATTACCCAGCAGGTTAATGAAACGTCTGCGGAACAACAAACCAGCTCGGCGAGCCAACCAACCTCAAAAAGCCCACTCTGCTTACTATTAGTGGCTAACTGCTTTCTTCTGAGCACTCCCAGCCCAATACTTAGCTGTGTGTAGTGGTTCCCAGAATCAGCGGCTTTCAGGAGCCTTTTCAGCAGTACAGGAAACAGCAGCATGGAGTTTCTTCCTTTGCCCCTCAAACTCTTACTGCAGCGATTGTAACAGATCAGCCAGGTAGACCTCATAGAATGTGAGTTCCCTGATTGGACCAGGTTAACAGCCCCAATCAGGAAGCCCTGGCTGACAGATATAAACAGGAGTGTCAGGGGTTCTGTTCACTCTGAGAGCTGGCTCTGAGGAAGCTGGACCAGTGTTAAGGACTCTCCGCGTATAAATAAAGGGGGACTTGGTGACGGGATACTGGCCTCTGTCGAGTTCTTTCACTAACTGTCTGCAAACACTAAATGACGGCAACCCTTGAGCTGCCCTTCAATGACCCTTGGATTCTTGAAATCTTCATAACAAGCTCTGCTTCTACGGTTCGGGAAAATCAAATGTAACTAATCTTGGAATACCAAGTTTCCTAAATGTTACCATTTTCACAGATTGCTGGTTTGCAAAGTGCAAATGGATTTCATACACCACATTATTTTTAATATCTACAAATCTACCAGCCTTGTTCTGGAATGTATTCAATGACTCTGCCCCCATCAATCCTTTATTTTCGACTGTCAAAATTTGCCTGAAGGCACCCTGACAAGCAATTTGAGATGTATTTTTATATTAAAAGCGCTACATAAATGCAAGTAGAGTGTGTGGTGTTAAAAATGGTTGACCACCCATGTCGCAGTCAGTAGCTCTATTTGTTACCTGTTGTCCCTTTCTGGAATCTCTTTGATGGCGATGCGGACTTGATTGTTCATGTCCCGTCCTGCGTACACAATCCCATAAGTTCCCTTCCCCAGAATCAGCCTTTCTCCGTTCTCGGTGTATTCGTACTTATACTGCACAGAAAGGAAGAAAGACATGCTATCACGCAGCAGAATACGGAGACACTCAGTTAAAATTGAGATGCAAAGGGATTTCTTCAGCCAGAGGGCAGTGAATGTCTGGAATTCTCTATTCCAGAGAGACCTTAGGGCTAAAGGGATCGAATAGGATTGGGAACAGCACGGTCAGCCATGATTGTTTGAATGGCCAAATGGCCTACTCCTGCTCCAACGTTTCTGTGTTTTCGAGGTCATCGAGGCTAGATCACTGCAAGAGGAAGTTGATAGATTCTTGAAATATCAAGCAGTTAAGGCTATGAGGAGCTAACATAAAAAGGGGATTGAGGCCTGGATATCAGTCCATAAGAAATAGGAACAGAAGGAGGCCGTTTGGCCCTTCAAACCTGGTCTACCATTCAATAGGATCATGGCTGTTCTGACATTCCTCACGTCAAGTTTCCTGCCATTTCCTGTAACCTTTGACCCCCCAACAGATCAAGAATGTAACTATCTCGGCCTTAAATATACACAAGAACTCTGCCCCGACAGCTTTCTGTGGCAAGGAGTTCCAAAGACTCTCAGGCCACTGATAGAAGAAATTCCTCCTCAGCTCAGTTGTAAATTGGGCAGATAACCATGATTTTATAAAATGGCAGGGCAGACTGGAGGGGCCTATTCCTGCTCTTGTTATGTTTTTCTTGGTTTATCTTCAAATTTATCTCTTTCTTTCTCTCTGAAGGACCTGAACTGTGTCGGGAGGTGAGGCCGGTTAGGTAAATGTTTGAGGGGTAAGGCAGCTCATCAGCAGCAATGACCCCACCTCGAAAAATCCCCCCTCCTGCCCCAGGAACCCAGATAATAGCATAGGTTACTCCCCATGAAGATCTCTGAGCTCAGTTCTCATGTGGCAATACCTCACATAATCACTTGGACAATGAATATTGGTGGGATATTGTATCATGCCTCTTTCTCCTTAAGGAGAAAACAGTGCCAATGGCACTGAATTGGTGATCTCATCGACATGGGTTCACATTCCACCAGGGCTGCTAGTGGAATTTAAATTCAAGCAATTAAGTAAAAGTAAACCTGCAATGAAAGCTAGACTTAGTTTCAAACAATCATTGGCGTCAAAATCCACCTGGTTCAATAATGTCCTTCACAGAAGAAAATCTGCCATCCTTACCTGGGCTAGGCCTACATGTAAGCCTTAATTACCCTCAAAGGGCAATTAGGAATGAACAGCAAATGATGGTATCGCCAGTGAACCCTTCACATCACGAAAGAGCAGATTTACCAGTTTCAAAACAACTTTAAAATCTGTCTCTTCAACAAAGCTGTTGGCTGTCTGTCTTGCTAACCTTTCATGTGGATCATTGTCAAATTTTGTTTGAGAAGTGGAAGGTCCTTGGGGCTATTCATTTTATCCAGAGGGCTATCTAAATGAATGCTGCTTGTTGTTGAAGTGTTGCTCTCATATCGGAATGGTCAGGTACTGGAATTGATATGGATTGCTTTGGCAGCAAGGTACGCAAGTCCTGACAACACAGGCGTCTCCGTTCACAATGTGTTAAGTAATGAAGGACTTTACTTGGTCACTCAAGATATTACTCACCTCCAATAGCTCCTCCCTCACTCTCAGCGCATCATCTGCATTCAACTGGGATTCCTCAGTGAAAGAATTCA